TGTCCTCTTTGTCAAGATTCTCCAATTTTTCCAGTTATAGCCTCTATTGTTCATTTCTCTGTTGTAGCTCTCCCCATTCTACCATGTTTTTCATGTGACGGATATCACCATGTATCACAAACTTGCAAATGTTTCCGTTCCTCATGTGGCTTTCATAGAGGCATCACACTGAGTTTCTAATCCTGTGATTGTGGAGTTCTGCAGCATAAACTCATTCCCTGGAGTTCCCTCTTATTTATGGTTGCCTTGGGCTGCTGTATTTACCTTCTAAGAACAGAGGATTGGGTCCATTTTCAAATTTTTTCTTCTCTCAATGGATAACACAAATGCAAGATTCAGGTACTGAGAGATATTTGTTCATCGAAAATCTAAACCAAGACAAAGCTTGCTTAAAGTTGTTGCCTTTTAAAGATCAAGTATAATATTTTGTATGTCATTTACTACATGGCTTGGGGTCAGGTGGCCAAAAGATGAGATGGTTGGAAATACAAAAGGCATAATGAATAAGACTGAGTTACAATGAGGGCACATACAAACTGTCCTTCAGACAATCTTTTTTATGTATCTTAGAAAAAAGGTATCAGTGTCTTTATGCTGGACTCGGGATAATTTATTCATTAATCTACCTTTAACTGAAGGAAGCTATCTAAATAAAGTGATGTATATAAATCAAACAGCATCACTTTTCTTATAGTGACAGGCAGGTTGAGTGAAGGACAGGCTGTGCTTGGACTGAACCTTCTGCTCTGTGGTGATGAATTAAGTCCACCTCGTTACCTGAGGTACAAATTGATTCCACGCATTAGAATAACATATGCATTGTCTAAATGTGTGCATTTATTTCTGGAAAGACTGCTTTTAACTGCTATGCCTCCCAAGACTTAGGGATTGCCTCAACTGAGGTGATGAGAGTGAAGACATGGCAGGCACAAACACAGAAAAGCTGGGATCAGGTGGGACATGTTCTCTGACACTCGAGAACAGTTGCTGAGATACCATGGAAGAGAAGGAGGCAGACTAGCTCATCTGGGTGGGGAGAAGTCCCCAGCTGCAGTCATCACAGATGCAGTTGATGCTTTCTGTACACACCATCAACATCTGTTCTTGGGCCAGAGGAAAATCTTACCATTTCTCTGAGTCTGACCTAGAGAGTCCTTGCCATTCCTATGGTTCTGAAGCAATAGGATCCTTGACATGGGTGTGTTCATGTCCATAACACACATTCACTCAGGACTTCAAACAACTCCATTCATTTAATCATGGAAAAACTCATAAAGGATAAATATACCTCCAACAACAGAGAAAATTGAACATGCAAACTGAATGTTTTCAGAATAGATTTTACAGAAATGGAAAGGAAATTTCTTTTTAAAGCTGTTTTGCTTTACCAGATGCTAAAGTAATAACTCCTTAAATGAAACATGGTTTATGAATGTTGAGTCCCATTAGGAATCCTGCTAAATCTGACACATTGAAAGATTAAACAGCACTATGATATTCTTGTTTTTACTGTTCAGCAAGACAAGTAATCTACATTATGGATGAACCTTTGGGGAGTATAGGCGTTGGTAATAGAATGAGTTCTACAGACCAAGAAACTCCAAAGAGTTTTCAGTAGAATCTATAGGACCAATACCTCTAACAGCAACATAACAGTGGGGGGGGGTAGCGGCCACACCCATGCCTGCCATAGCCATAGCCTAGACCACCACAATGGTCGCTGTAATAGCTCACAGTTTTGAGAGTGAAAGGGTTAAGTTGAACAGATTGCAATTTCCTTTTTGTGAATGTCACCAGTTGCCCATGGCTTTCCAACAATTTACATGGTGGGAAGAGCAAACCACAGGAAGGTGTTAGCTTCATGCTTGCCATTAACTTATATTTTAAACTTTCAGGATGCACAGTTTATTAGGGACACAGACACTTCCATAGTTAAGAATCCTTTTGGCATTACATCAGGATCCCAACAACCTAAGCAGATATCTTTAACAGGGAAATTTGTGAGATGTGAATGCCCAATCATGAAACACTAGAATTTTGTTAGTTTAATGTCTATGACAAGTTTTTACTGGAGGCACTTTGTCCTTGAGTTTTTTACTGTTTTGTTATATACTTTTCATTTCACAGCAGTATGAGCATTTAGGATTTATTAGTGTCTCTGTGTGGAGTTCGTGACCTGAGACATTAGTGCAGCTACAAAGCTAACAAAATACCTATACATCATTAATATGTAAATAATTATATCCTCTAGATAAGCTCTAACCATGAATATTTAATGTAGAATGTCTGTAAGTCCTCTTGATGTTTTACTCTCATCTTATCTTTCACCTTCAAGTTTGTTAGGCAGTATCTTGCTAGTTGGTGTCTAGGTGACTTTATTACTGAACTATGGAATTTTCCATGTCCTTATTTATTAATGATCCTTTAAATGTATATATTTTCCTCTCTGGTGTAAATTAATAACTTTGATTATGAAGTCCACATTGGTGTCTGTTTGAGACTGAGATATTGATCATGTCTCAACTTCAATTCAAATAAAGATATGAGGTTTCCCCAGATCCCCCTGCATTGGCCTATTCAGATATTCTTGGGCAGTAGCATGTTAATGACAGAGAATAAGGGTCAAGTTATAACTCAGTGCTAGAGTCAATAGACTGTCATGTCTGGGAGTCGGTGTTACCTATTAGAGATGTAAGTTTCCTTTCATGTGAGATCTGTTGTCTCCTAAGTAATGTTATTTTCCATGTTCTTTTTTCAATGGATATACTCTTTTCTCAGGATGAATATAAAAGTATAAATTTTATGTTACATATTAACAATGGATAATCTGAGCATGAATTTTTAATAGAAATCCTAAAAAAGAAGAAATTTAATGAGAGAGGAAAAAGTGCAAAATAATGCTGAAAGAGATTTGGTCTTTTGTTTGTATATGGCAAACCTTAATATTGGTAAGCTGGTAGGAGTCTCAAGATGAGGCACAGTTTCGTTATAATCTATGCCATAATTCTGGTATTGCAGGAATGTTGACCATAACAAAAAGATTTCTTTGAATATTTATGAGAAATAACAGTTAAGGCAATGGTGAAAAGTAATAAAATCAGAGGCTCCACACCTCTCAACCATAAAGTAGTGCATACTACAAGGGTTGGGGTTTTGTAAGTTTAGAATTAGAACAACACACATATACTGTCCTAGAATTCAATTCCATGTGTCCAAGTGAGTGCATAATATTGTAAGTCCAGTAATTTATGATTAATTGATTTTTCCTGAAGAAAATCTGGTGAGGAAAGGCCATAATATTTTACTGTTATATTTGGATAGTCTAATAGAAAGAAATCATTAATAGTATTTTTTACCTTTATGTCCTTGATTCCTCTTTGAGTTAAATCTTCGTTAGGATAGAAAACTGTTCCCATTAATGAGTTTTATATATGAATATCCAATTTTAGTGATGACACACATATTCTAATTACTGTCATGAAATGTTTCATGCCTAAGTTTCATAGACCTAGGTATCAGAAATATTCTGCTTTATGGGGAAAAAAGTAGTAATATGATGTGTTTGAAGAGCCTAAATACTGGACTCTCTATTGACGTTAATCACTTCCCTTTCTCTTTTCTCTTTCCCACGTGTATCTACTGACAGGTAGCTGCAGCTCCCAGTTACCTGCTGTGAGATCCTTCAGTGGCAGCTTTCTGAAAGAGACTCAGAGCTAGAAGGGCAGCAGATGCTATGTTATTTCATTTATATTAGCAAAAATTACATGAGTTTTGGAAAGCGTTCTTTTTAAGATATGTTATGAAAATCACTTTGTTTGTATACCTCTAACAGCTATGGATTCCAGTGGAAGTTGTGACGTGGTTCCCAAAGATTCCTTAGTCAAAACAGCAGTGGAGTTGATAAATCAATAAGCCCCCTCCATGGTTGTATATACATGTATTTTTCGGGATTAAGTCACCATCTTCAAAAAAATAGATGAAATAATCTCTTTCTTAACCAAATTCTGAAATACTCTGTTAAATGTAGTCGTATGTGTGAGGAATCACTGAAACTCATATGCCCAGAAAGCCGAGTGGCAGCCTAATGATAACATGTATGAAGCAACAAATTAAATGTTAGACAAGACAGTGATACGCAGATTGATCATAGAACATATATTTTCATGACTTATGGAAGCCTATAGGTACAAATTACAGCAACCAGCAATTTCATTATATTAAAATTTAGTTTCTTGTTCTTAAAAGATAAGCTTTGCTGAGTGGTTGTGTTGCACACCTTTAATCCCAGCACTCAGGAGGCAGAGAGAGGTGGATCTCTTTGAGTTTGAGGCCAGTCTGGTCAACTGAGAGAGTTTCAGGACAGCCTCCAAAGCTACAGAGAAACCCTGTCTCAAAAAGCCTCTTTCATTAAAACTGAGGGTGAGATATCCCAAAGAATAGGTCTATATTTAATGAAAGTATCTTTTTTTTCCAAAATGCAGTAATGGAAATGCCCCCACCCCCAATCAAGAAAGGGTTAAGCAGAGTTAACTACCTTAATGATTTGCATCGTACAATGAAATCAGGTCACATACATTCACTCAAATAAATGCAGAATAGAGTGTTGCAAATAGAACAAGGATTCTATTTCCTTAGAACATATTTTAATTGTTTGTACTTTGAATATTTTATAAGTGAATACTGTATTTAAATCATTCCCACCTCTTCTTCTCCCCTCTCCCCTCTGATTTCTCCCATGCCCACCTCCATCTTAAAGCCCCATGATTTGACTATGGAGTCCTGAAGTAGGAGCACAATTATCTCAGTTATGCAACCTTGTTTATCCAGTAAATCATATAACTTGTGATGTTTTCTGAAGCACAGTGGAGAGACGTGTGACACTGCAATGCCTGTGGTTTCCCCAACAACAACGACCCAGGTGTATAAAAGGCCCTTGGCAGATGGTGACAGTCAGACTCAAGGAACTGCTCATCTCCTCTGAACAGTTCCCTCCTGACACCATGTGTTACTACGGTGGATACTATGGAGGCCTGGGCTATGGCTATGGAGGCCTAGGCTATGGATATGGCTATGGTGGCTATGGTGGCTATGGTGGCTATGGTGGCTATGGTGGCTATGGTGGCCATGGTTATGGATGCTGCCGCCCACTATACTATAGAAGATACTGGTCCTGTGGCTTCTATTGAGGAGACGCTGCACCCACACACTCCAACGTTCTTCTTAAAAATCATCATAAATTCCAACATCATACTAAATTATCCGAGAAAAAATAAACAAAATACAGCATGCCCATCACATTCCCCATCTGTATTTTGACAGTGTGACAGCTTGAAGGGAAATTCTTCAATGGTTTCTTAATGCCTTGGGAAAATGAGACCCAGTTAGATTCTGACCTATCGTATTAAAATAATTTCCTTTTAAATAAACTATTTCATAGAAAATATTGATTCCTTTGGCTCCATTTAATAGTATCCATCAATATGGAATGTACGTCTGTGGACTCCTGTCGTCACAACTGTATGAGTTTTTTGTGGGTAAATAGGAAGAAAGTGGGAAAAGCAACATTTCATTTGAACCTTCATCTACTGATAGACATTTGCATTGCTCTCATATCTTTGTAATCGTGAGTAATGCCACAACGAATTTGGTAGTACAGATATTTTTCCAAGGTCAAAGCCTTTTGTCTTCTAGTTAAAATTTCAGAAGTATCACAAGTTAGTTTTATGAATGTTTGAGGAAAAGTCTACACAGTGTTTCCTATAATGGCTGTCATCAGTACGTTCTCACAGACCAGAGGGTTGGCTTTCCTTCACATGTTCTCTAACAGTCATATCCTTTCTAAGATCAATTTTATTAACAGCTGTTGGCTACAGTCTTATCATGCTTTTAATTTGTAATTTTGAGGCATTAGTGAAATGGAGCCTCACTTAACCCTTTGGTCATTGGAGATTTCCTTTTGAAAAATGTCTATTCCAATCTCTGATCTTGTTGACATTAGTTTCTTGTCTATCTGCTCAGCTGGAGATATTACCTAGTTATGGTTATTAGTCTTCTATTTCTTCTATATTTTGGTTTTCTTTTAAGTTATGGACTTTTCTGTTGTGTAAAGAGTCTTAGTTGGATACTAAATGACTTTCTATTTTTGTTGTCTGTTTTAAAAGTCATATTCAAATTGATTCTGAAACTGAGCATTAGTTTTTGAAAATTTCATAACCTGTGCTTGTATCATATTTGATCTTCTCCCCAATTTCCTCCCAGATCCTCCCTACTTTTTTTTCCTCTCACCATAGTTTTTTGAGTCTCTTTTTTGTTGAGCTAGCATTTTGAAGAAAAAAATTTCCCTTTATGTGGATAATAATAATGTTATATTAAACATACTTGTTTGATTTGTGCTCCTTATGTACTCTGGGATGTGTGGTCATCCATGGGAGCATCCAGGGTCACATGCCTGAAGAAACCATCTTCTCCCAGTTATCAACTTCCAACAGCTCCTTAGCTAATGGGACCTTGCAACACCTCCTTTATCCAAGTTGGGATTTTGTCAGGTTGTTGTTCTTTAGAGGGGACAATACTCAGGATTGTAGCTGATGTTTTGTGCATACAAGGCAAAGGCCCCATCACTGGAACATATCCATGGGAATTGATGTTGGTGTGTGTGTGTGTGTGTGTGTGTGTGTGTGTTTTGTATGAGGGACATATATGTAAGTGGGTGGTTGGGTGAATATGCATAGAAGTCAGGGAAGAAATTTTCTGTCCTGTTCTCTTTCAACACACTCCTCTCCCATGAGACCGATTCCCTCACTGCATATGGAGTTTGCCTGGCAACAAGCACGCCTTAGAAATCCTCCTGTTCCTTTAACCTTGCAGCACTGATGCGACAACATGAAGCTTTTCATGTGCGTTCAGTATCTAGTGAGATATCTACAGCTGTCTGGTAAACAGATAGGTGATGTCACTGCTCTCCTGCAATGTCATGTGTGAGAGCCCATGTATGCCCTGCTTAAAAAAAATACATTAATCAGAGTTGACTTTGGATTATTTACACAATCATAGTGAATTTCAATGTAATGATCATCAACATCATTACATGGGCTCACAAAGAGAAACATGGACCATATATAGTCACCACACAAGTGGTATTTTTATTTTTGATGATTTTAAGACAGCATGCAGTAAAACAATGTAGTCAGGAATATATTCAAATGTGTTAACCCTTACCAACAATCTATAGATAATGTAACCAATAGTTAACTTACTTGGGGAAAATTATAGAAATGTACTCTTCCAGGTAAGATTGATTTCAAGTAACAAAACTAAATTTCAGGAAAGAAAACCCAAAGACCTTCTTCTTATGGAGTAAGGAAGACCAAGTAAACATAAAAGGGAGACAACAGAAAACTGTTTAATGATTTATATCATCTGTCAGAATTGCATCAATGTATTCACTCAAGTAAATGAAGAACGCCTCAGAATTTTGACAAGTAAATCAGCATGCACAATGTAAGCATAGCATCTTGATGCAGGGACACAATTATGTCAGTTATGCATCCTTATGTGCTCATAAATCACAATCAGGGATGTTTTCTAAGAGACGTGTGATGTGGTAATGTCTGTGGTTTTGTCAAGAACTGGCCAGGTATATAAAAGGCTGCTGATGAATGGTGACATTCACACTCAAGAAACTTATTGTTGTCTTCAACTGGACACCAGTAACTCATTGCCACTTACTGACACCATGCGTTACTGTGGTGGATACCATGGAGGCCTTGGCTATGGCTATGGTGGCCTAGGCTATGGCCATGGATGTGGCTATGGTGGCTGTGGTGTTGGCTGCTGTCGCCCATTGTTCTGTATAAGATACTGTTCTTATGGCTTCTACTGATGTATTTCTACAGCTGCCCAGCCTGTAAGCTGTAACCTGCTGTCCTAATGGAAATGTCTACAAGTTTCCCCCATCAGAAATTTCTAACTTCAAATTTCCCATTATAGTGTACTTCCTGAGTAAATCAAATGAAATATAAGACTCCCATCTTTCGTCTCACCTTCAGTTGGACCTGATGACGGCTTGTAGAGCTCTTTGTTGTCTACACAGTGCCTTGTGAAATGTGAGCCAGTTGGACTCTCAACTTTTGTGTAAAAATATGTGCTTTTTAATGAATATTTAATTGACAATGTTTTTCTTGAATTTTAGGTCTCTATAATTTTCACATATATGCTTGTGTGTTTGTGTCTACTTTGTCACATATATAAGTCGTTTGTGGATAAATGGCACAGGAGTAGGAGAGGGAGAGGGAGGAGACAAAGAAACCAGAAGGAGAAGGAGGCCTTTTAAACCTGATCTGTTGATACACATTAGGTTGTTCTCATAGTCTTTCTTTTTTTATTAAACAATATAAAATTTGCTTTCATTTATAAATAAATAATTTTCTATTAAATAGAACTGCTGTTGATGAAGTATCATCTTTTCTACCCTTTAAAATTTAGTTTTGTTATCATTTTTGTTAGTTTTTTGAATATCCATATGATATAATTTAATCATATCCATAACTGACCCCTCTGTTTCCAATTCCACACCCCCTTCACTACTTACCCAACTTTGCGTACTCTTTAAAAACAAACAGGCAAAACAAAACAATACCCCTAAAATCAAACAAAAGAAATCAAGAACAGTTTTGTTGCCAAAGGATTGCATCCTCAAACAAACTCTCCTTCAGCAGAAATCATCAACTATCAATAGCTCCTTAGATGGGTGTGGGAAATCATGCCCGCTTCTATTTCCATGAGGAATTTTGTCAGGCTCATGAATGCTGTCTCAGCTGCTGTGAATCCACGTGCGCTCTTGCCCTGCCTTGTCCAGAAAACACTATTTCCTAAAACTCGGTCCCCACTTTATGACTCTTACAATAGTTCTATTGCCTTTCTTCTTCACTGATCTCTAGTACTTGCGAAGATAGTCTGTGATATGCATGTCCTGTTTAGGGATAGGTACTCCCTAGTTTCTTATTTTCTGTACTTTGACCATTTGTGGGTCTCTGTGTTAATCAGCAATTTCTGAAGAATATTTCCGTGATGAGGGTTGAGAGATACTGATCTCTGGGTATAATGCTAAGCCATTAAGAGTCATTGAATCCACATCTTTTCTATCATGGGAAACATCACAATGAATTTGGTAGTCGCAGACCTACCTTTGAGACCAAATTCTTTTGTCTACTAGTTAAAATTTCAGGTACAATAAGTAAGTTCTATGATCATTTTGGCAGTAGTCTACACCAATGTTTCCTGCAATGCCTTTCATCATGTACATTCTCAGTTGTGTCCAGAGTTCCTTTTTATTTCACATGTTCCCTACCACCCATTTTCTCTCTGTAGCCATTTCAGTATGGGAAGTCAGCTAGTGTCCCTCACAAGGCTCTTTCACCCTTTTTATTAGTTCTTTGTGAATTTCATACAATATATTTTGATCAGTGTCATCCCCCCAACTTTTCCCATGTCTACTCTTCCCTCTTCTCAAAATTCAGCTTTTTAAAAATGCATTAAGCTCAATGTGTGCTGTCCATACAGTCATGATTGTATGGGCTTCACTGGAGGGTAAAGTGCCTATACCCTTAAAGAAATCCAGCTCTCCTGATGCCAGCAGCTAGCAGCTACCAATAGTGCCTTATGTAAAGGTAGAACTTTTACGCCTACCTTCCTGTCTGTGATTGGTTTTGTCAGGCACATATATATTTTGTGTATGCTGTCTCAAATGCTATGGACTGATATGTGCAGTTATTCTGCTATGTCTGGAAAACATGGTTTCCTCTTAGTCACCCAAGAATTTTGTCTTAGAGAATCTTTCTGTTGTCTCCAGAGTGATGCTTGAGCCTTGTGCACAGAATATGTAATAGAGATGTCCCACTTAGATCAGTGCATTCTGAAGTATGTTATCTGCTGACCTTGATCATGAGTGGGTCTCTGAATTGTTATCTGCTGTCGAAAGAAGCTTCTCTGAGGAGAGTTTAGAGATACTAATTTATGGGTATAACGATGTTTTGGGGAGTAAATTTAACACTATGATCATTTAGCAGAGTAGTAGTACTAGTTTATTTTGGGCATGTGATCTATTTAGCAACAGGATTTTTTAGCCCAATAACAGTGTCAGGTATGTGTTGTGTCTCAGGAAGCAGGACTGAAATGCAATCAGAAG